GTAGTTACTATATAATTAATTACGTACATATCTTACTTCCTAATAAGGACTACCATTACTACACTTTTAATGAACTAATTTAATTAATGAACTTTTTAACCGTAACTCGAAAATTTCTTGTCAGAAAAAGCTCAAATGTTTTACACAGCATAAGGACATCAGTATCACATTGAAGTCCTTATGCTGTCAAAATGTAATAAAAAATTGAAGTGATCTTGGAGCCATATTTAGAAAAAACCATGGGATACAAAACAGTGTACATGTATGTGTGTGTGTGGGTAGTTACTATATAATTAATTACGTACATATCTTACTTCCTAATAAGGACTACCATTACTACACAAGAATGAACCATTAATTAAAAACTACTCCATCATGAATCAATAGATGACACACACACACACAGATCGAGGCAGTATATATTATTTGTCAGAAACAGCTCAAACTTTCTACACAGCATAAGTACAAGTACATCAATATGTATCAAAAAATGTGCTAAAAATTTGGTGTGATTTCAGAGCCATTTTTTGGAAAAAACTATTGTATCTTATTTATTAATTCCCTTACCCATTCACTTTCATCTTCATTTTGTCTCTCACTACAAAAGGATTACCTTGAATAGCACCACCTTCACTATCAAGGGACACAACATTACTACAAACAAACAAAACATGTAAACAACAACAAAAATAAACAAAATAAAAATATCAATAAATACACTTACTCTCCAGTCCTTACAACAGATGTGCTCAGGAATCTATCAAAGTCGGTTAGTTGTAAGTTTTGTAGATTTCATCAAAACTGTCTCTGTCAGTAGTGTCATTATTAATATGAGGTACTGCTGGAGGAGTGGGTTCTTCTTCTTCAGGATCATCTTCAATATTAGCAATTACTATAAAAATAATATTTAATGATAAACATAATTACAAGTAATTAGGAATAAAATGTAGTTCTTAATTAATGTCATCAATGCAGTGTACATGTACATGTACATGCGTCAGAAAATCTAAAACTGCTCTTTTCAATTTTGGCAAAATTTGGGTTGCCCAATTTTATGTACCACAAATTGCTATAAACTAAGTTAATGTGTGTGTGTGTGTGTGTGTGTGTGTGTCAAACCTTGTCCTTCATATTGTGGTAAAGGTAGTGATGATATCAGTTCATCTTTCCACCATTTGGTAGGACTAAAAGTGAATATAAATACATCATACTCCAATTATTAAGAACAAACTATAATTTATTATTTTGGAAATTATGCTACACAAAATATTTCACTAGTTACATGTACATGTACATGTAGGCCAGTACACACATGAATGATAATTATTGGTTGTGTTAGTAATAGAAATAAAAAATCTAATATTATTATTATAAAAGCTACTACAATATAACCTGATCTATCAATCATACAGTTACTTTATGAAATACATGTACATGTATACATCTACATGTACTGCCCCACCCACCTCTTAAACAGTTTTGGTGATTGTGGTTCCCGAGCTGTCCTATGGTGTAGATAATAATCAGTTGATAGTTCCCATACATTGGCTTCTCCTTCTTTTGGTACAAACACTCCAAGGAACACGTTAATAGCCATCTGCTTGTCTGTGTCTAATGGG